CCGCAATCAAACGATTCGTGCGATGCGCCCGTGCACCCTCTCGCGCGGCTCTCCTACAAAAGCGCTTATATAATTGCGCACCGACGCAATTAAAAGTCTATCTATCGACGTTGCGCGCCGCGTCTTCTTCGCCTCCTCCTCCAACCCCTTTCCCTTTCGCGGATCGAACGAAAGGGTAAGAAGAATTCCTTGGAAAAAATTTTATTTACAATGAATGGCGCAAGGGATGAGTTTGAGGGTTTTCTGTAAGTAAGTCTTTTTATTATATCGTATACTGATTCTTAGACAGAACAAGGAAAGTTTTTGAGTTATTAAAGAGAGTTGCAATTTTTCTTCTAGAGTTCGTTTCGATGTAATAAGAGGAGCAAAGAAAGTACTACAAGGTTGGAAAGTAAACGTTTCAATTTAGTTTCCCCGGGTCTTTTATCTTATGTTTTTTTAGGAAGAGTAATAAACTTTCCGAATGAATCGTAGAGAAATCAAATTTTATGAAAAATTAAATTAAAAGTTAATTTGGAATTACACAAATTTTCTAAAACTATCTATGGATATTGCTCCAATTCATTCCGTACCGTTTCTACTATTGCAAGGAAGAGCGTAGAATCGACTTCCACAAGAAAAATCTATCGCCCCTGTTGGTGTTTCTCTTGTAGAAACTACATGGATGGTCGTCTTCCAGTGTACCAGAGTAGAAGTTTTCCACGGTGTCGTGCAAAGGGTGGAAGAGGGTGGATTGGGGCGTCGACTACTGGCTGGCCAAAGGAGTCTAGGCGCCTCTCCATTAGTATGCGCGGAAGTGCTGCTCGCTCGATTGTGGGAGGTATTGTCGGGGAAGAATGTCCTCGTTGCCGAGGCTCTGTACAGGCAGAGGCTGCCTTTGCCGTAAGGAGGCACGAATCCAAGTCAAATGTAATCACTTTCGAATCGGAACACCCACCGCGCATTTCGAATCTACGTCGGTTCTTCGAGGCTTCCGGTCGTTCCTCGTGCTCCTCTTCGGACTTTAACAGTCGACGATTTCACGAGAAATTATTCCCTTCTTTATATTTTTCGAATTATTACACATTTCTTCAACGATCGTTCCCATAAAGGAAAGAATAATTTATGAAAATTTTATACGCGAATCAACTGCTATGATAATTTCTTCGAGCCTTTGATTCATATTATATATTTTTGTAAGAAATTTAAATTCGAGCATGTAAAGTTTGTTCAACTGTGTAAGGAAGGCAGTAATTATAAAAAAAGAAAAAAAATGTAAAATGAGTTTCTTTATATTTTTTACAATATTATTGTAAAATATTGTTGCTAGAATAATATTGTTGTCAGAAAGCTTGGGTAAAATAAGTTATAATACTTAATTATAAAACGAATAGAAACAATATGCTGGTAACTTTGAATAAAATTGTATTCAAAAATAAGGAACGAAGGAGGTGGAAAGTGAAAAGGATCGTTTCTCCTCTGTAGCAGGGGCAAGCGAAGAATTATGGAATAGTGGTGGAATTCGCTGGCGCGAACAGAGAACGTCTCTGGCTCTCCATTCTCCTGTTATCTTGCCACGAAGAAAGCGTGATTGCCTTTATGGGGGAAGAAAGGGTCCTTCGCGGTGGCGATAATGTCCTCGCGGCGACGGTGGAGGCGTCGCTATCAGAAATAAAACACGACGCAACGGAGGGGTGGATCGAGGGTCGAAGGGGAGGCGTGGAGGTTACTCCTTCTCAGATTTTCCCCTACGATTCCTTCTCCTTCGTGTAACCTCCGATTAGTTGTACGAATACGTGAAGGAGATACGTGGTGGAGATGGGTTTCTTGATCGATCCTGGCTACTCTCGTGCTTCTGTGTCAAGGACCAACTCAACGAGGACACGAATGTCTGTGATGCACGAAGATTCGATAAATAAAATAAAGATATAATATATATATATATAAAGTAATTTAAAGGATGAAAAAATTTTCAGATTTTTACTTGCGATAAAAATTAAATGATACTGGTTGAGAAGATATGGAGGATATGGAGATCATTCTCGTATATTACGAGTAAAAAGATAACGGATAAACAAGAAGAAACGTATCATTTGCCAAATATTTTTAAAAATTTGAACGAATGGTGGAAAAATATTTTCATAATAAATGCAAATGATGGATGAAACAACGATCTTCGATTAAGATTCAATTTATTTACAAACGCGTTATGTTACAGCAAATAATTAACAATGATTACGTCGTTTTTTTCAGCGACATGATTAATGGAAAACTCGAGTCGAGCTATACGATCGCTACACTTCGTTTTTCCTTTCTCTCACGTTTGCAACGTTGGAAATAAAACGTGTGGTAGCCGAGGAACATATAACGTATAATATCGAAGAAGATACGTTTTTTTTCTATCCGTTTAGATACGCTTTACATTATATTTCTTTTTTTTTTTTTTTTTATTTTTCTCATCGTCCATTCGTTCTACAATCGTTTCGTTTTTTTTTTTTTTTTTTTTTTTTTTTTCTCATCGTCCATTCGTTCTACAATCGTTTCGTTTTTTTTTTTTTTTTTTTTTTTTTTTTCTCATCGTCCATTCGTTCTACAATCGTTTCGTTTTTTTTTTTTTTTTTTTTTTTTTTTTCCCCTCCTCCATTCGTTCTACAATCGTTACGTTATTTCTTTTTTTTTTTCTTTTTTTTCCTTTTTTTTTTTTTTAAACTGTATACAATTTCTAGATACGGGAGGTGAAAAGTATGCCAGGGAGGGAGAATTAGTTTCCATTCTGATCGGTAGTGAGGCTCGATCGTCGCCGGTTGATATCGAAAAATTTTGCCCACGAAAAATACGTGCCTCGCGCGGCAAAACAAGTGTATAAAATTTCGAATATACGGTTGCGCGTCGATTGCGAAAAATCAGCTGCAATAAAACTGCGAGGAACGAAGAGGGTGAGGAAGGGGAAAAGGGAGGGGGAGGGAGGAGGTGCGAACGAATTCAACAATCCGTGGACAGAATGGCGCGTCTGCAAACAATTTGCTCGAATTGAACGTTTTATTATTACCGGCCAATCGTTTAAAGCTTCACAGTAACAAATTACAGATTCGCATATTTCTCTACTATCTGAACAAAAAAAAAAAATCTTGCATTCTATTTTTCATTCTGTTGCATGTATTTTTTTTTTCAAGATTTTTTTTATAAGATCGTGAGAGAGATACAAGTTAAATTAATAATATTTTTTTTTTAAAGAGTGCACTCTTAAAGGCTATCGTGAAATTTGTTTTGACGATAGATTTTAAGAGTTGGAGTGTCCCGTTAAAATAAAATTTTACGTTACGTTTAATAAAATATTATCTACAAATTTGTTATACGGTAGAATTCCTTTCGAAACGAATCTATTCAAATAAGAATTCTTCCCACCAATTTATTATGATTATAACTCAATTAAAGGAATTAAGTAAGTCGTTTCGCGAACAAATAATACAAGATACATTTTTATAATTACGTCACGTTATAAAAATATTCAACTGATTATTATTCCAAATAATACGATCTCAATTCGTAATAATTTTACATTATTAAAACAATTTCGTTGAAAAGAATTCCACCGTATCAATTTCCCTGAACAAAGAAAGGAACGAAAAAAAAAAACAACAATAACAACAAAACCATGAACAACGCAGGAAAAAACTTCTAATCAGATATCACAAGATTTCTTCGCGAAAGCACGAAAAAATAATCGAACACGATGATGATTCATCCTATTCACTCTTATCACTCCTCTCTCTCTCTTTCTCTCTCTCTCTCTCTCTTCCTCACAATCGTCGCGCGTCCATCAATTACAACGCGATGTAACAAAAGACAAACACGTGTGTATGTAACGAAAAACGAGGGACAAAGGGAAATCTGTAAAAAAAAAAAAAAAAAAAAGAAAGAGAACTGAGTTGAAATATCGTGGAGAGAGTTGCAGTATCGATGCGCGACGCAATAAAATCATCTCGCGAGGGGGTGGTATAACGCGTATACAGGCCCGCATCTACGTTAGCATTCAGAAACGGTTGGCTTATTTCGCATGGCCGCGCCCCAAAGAAGAGATTTGCCTCCACTCGAAGAGGGGTTTTATTTTTATTTCTTTTTTTCTCTCTCTCTTTCTCTCTCTCGTACGGGGCTCTTTTCTGTCCTCCTGTGTGGCTCGCTTTGGCTCGCGTGCGCGGTAATATGTGCCACGGAGAGGGTTGGTTATCTCATCAAAATTGGACTCTTCTCTTGCATCCCTGTACACGCTTTTGCCGGAAAAGACCCTTTCGCCGCTCGCTCATTCCCTCTCTTTCTCTTTCTCTCTTTCTCTTTCTCTCTCTTTATGGGATTCCGGCCGTGGCGAGTTATCGATTCGGCTTTGCGGTATCCACCGCCGGATACGAATTTTCCTTCGAATTCATTTTTCTTCGACGCCATTTTTTGGAAACCGTATTCCGCCGAGAGAAAGCTGAGAGAAAGGGCATCGAGAGCAAGATCGCGCGCTTCACTTTCGCAATGGAAGGGGACCGGATTTCAAGCGGAACTTAGTCGAGCTTTTCGACATCTTTCGCGATTCCTTCTCCTCGTTATTATTATGTACAATCGTAAAAAACGTGGCGCGCTAAGAAATAGGCTGCTCGAATTATCACACAACGCAACAGGTTACGAATGATCGAGGACCGGGGGTGGTATTCCAGCCTTCCTGGTCATTTCCTAGTCAATCTCGGATTCTAAAACTTCTAAAGAGTTCACTTATCATCCATTATCTTCCACGATTGAATTTCGTTTCGCGTTATGTACACGAATGTCCACCCAACATCTGTCCCTACGATCACGATCTGTGTTACCTCGAGTTGCAAAGAATCGTTCAAATTTTCTTTCAACTTTGAGACGATCACTGTACATTTCCAATGTGGATGCTCCTCGATCTGGCCATCACTCCATTCCTCTGCTGCTCCTCCTGGAACTGGACCTCGTCCTCTTTGGCTGGCGCGTTCAAATTGGTGACGGTTGCCTGGGGGATCGGCGAGAGCATCGGTGGTACCCTCCACCAGTCGGTGCTGGGCCATCCGGGTGGTACCAGGTTCCCCCGGAAGTTTAAATCCGGGAGAACCGGAAGCGGTCTTCATATGACGTGGCCGCCACGATGGCTGCCTAAATTCGAGCTGGACGATGTCAAATTTTGGACAGAGAACGCGCTCTCCACTTTCGTGGTCGCTGACGGCGTGGTCGTCGGCGCGGTGTTGCCTATCTTCTCGTTTTGATCGGGGAGGGAGGAGGAGGAAGACGAGGAGAATCGATCCTGCGATCTGTCTTCCTGATGCCTGTCCACCGACGACGAGAAATTCTCCTCTTCCAGTTTTCTGTATCGCGGCTCCTCCCTGCTTGAATCCCTGTCCGAGGGAAATCCATCGTCCTCCGGTTTGCCAGGGCTTGGAAACGGCCTTTCGTCTAATTTGGCGGGCAAGTAAGGCCTCTTCGGGTCTTTGGGGGGGCTTGGACATCCGCAATTGGGCTGGAGACAGGTCGCCGTTGATAAACCGGGCCAGGACATGGTCTGATGGCTGGAGTAGAAGGTGCCACCTCCGTAGAGAGCTTGGNAGATCCGCGGCCAGTTTCCCGCCGTTGAATTCTTCTCCCAATTTGTGTTGAATTGGGTAGAGAGGGTATGGAAACGGCGGGAAAAAACGGGGGATCTTGAGATCCTCGTGGCTCATCAACGTGTGGTGCGATGGGGGCGCCAAAGGTGGCAGGAGGCTTCTCGATATGTTGCCCAGGGATTCACCCGAGGACATCAACGGTGATATCGAGAAACCGAACTTGTTCTCCTTTTTCACTAAGGATTTCGGCTTCCTGCGGGGCCTGTACTTGTAATCTGGATGCTCCTTCATGTGGAGGGCTCTGAAAGGAGAATATTTATTTCTTTTTAATCTTCTTTTTTCCTTTTTTCTTCAGCGAAATTTCGATATTCGTACTCGCTATAGATAGCTCAATCTAAATCTAATGCTTGTTGCTGGTTCGAAAGGGGGATACTCTTCGAGCGATTCAGGGGTGGCCTAATTGAATAGTTTTGGCATGCAGAATACGCAATAGTAGTTTTCCGAGGGGGCGAAGGCGTAATCACTGCCACCATTGGACGAAAACGAAGATGCAAGAAAATCGAGAATTCCGATTTTATCGATCGATTCTCTCGATTCTCCTTCCATTTTCGTTCGAATTTAGATGATTAAATAATCCCAAAGAATTTGAACAAATTCGAATCGCCCGCGTCAAATTGAATTCTCTTCCATCGAGGAGGGAGGGGGGGGGGAGGGGGAAAGTTATCCTTGGACATACTTAGACAATGATGCCCGCGCCCTATCTACCTTCGATAATCCAACGTGTCTCGTTATCGCGCGAAGAATCGCGCGAGACGAGACGAGACAGTGGAGAATTCGGTAAACTTTGCTCTCGACACCGTTATCCAGCACAAAGGGACGTATTATCGTGGCACTGGGATACACGATACGGGGCACCATGGTATATTTGTGGTAAATATCTTGTACACACATACACCCCGGCTCGAGGCGCGGCCGACGCGTTTTGTGTCGAGGGGGGAGAGGAGAGGGGGGGCTCGAGTAAAAAGCGAGAGGAGCGGGAGAGAGAGAGAGAGAGAGAGTCAGAGGCTCGTCGGTATCTTCGTCGCATAATACTCCATTATGTACCCAAGAGGCGCACAAACGCAGTCCTTATTTATGCTTCGCCTCGTGGAGATAAAAGAAAAGCGGGCGAGATAGGTGTTTCACGGGCGGGAGACCAACTTTTTCTGAAAGTGTGCGCCCCCACGCGTTTCGCGACCGGGATACCGCGTACAATGCTCGAATTACTTAGACCTCGTATCTCGTCAAAGGGATTATTTTCCCTTCGATTTCTATGCGCCCGCTCGATTAATAACAGTCGGTTTCGGCGTAGCGGGGGCGTAGCTGCGCGATGCTCGTTAACCGTGCACGCGATTAGGGATTGAAGTGTTATCTCACGAGATCGAGGGTATCGATGTTGAATTAATGCGAAAGTATTAGATTTAGATGCATTCGATGCTTCGTGGTAAATACACGTGAATGCTACGTTAAATACATATGGATATTTTATTCTAAACTTTCTTTTGTTATAATTCTATTAAATCCTCTTCGAGGAATAATTTTTAGAATAAGCAAATTGCACGTACGAAATAAAAGTAAAGTTATTACAAATTGTAAAGGTAAAAAATTAATTCGTTGGATATTTAATCATATACGTTCTACAACAAACGTCACAAAGTGTATAAAAATACA